GTCTGCTTCAATTTGCAAATCTAATATTTTATTAGTCTGGTCCTAATTAGCACTACTTAGGATGTCTGTGTCTCTGTGTTACACCTGGACAGTTTATGCAGCTTGCGCCACCCCATTGTCAAGGTGGTGAATGATTTCGAATGTAGAATTTTGAAATTGATACCATAGGTGTGTCTGCTCGGAGGCTGAGGGGTAACACTGGCAGCCGCTCGTATTTTTTATTTTATTTTAGTATTTGAGATTGCTACTTTGTTTTGATCATTTACTCATTTCCCAGAATCTCTGATACACATTACTGGTAAGTATGCTTGGATGATATAAACCAAAATTATCTGAACTAAAGAACACTTTGTAACGACTGCGCACACGCTGTAAACAATGTCACTTCTGCAAGATGACAGTTCTGATTTCTTCCATATTTTTGCTTCTTTTTGCACACAAAGAGGAAAAGATGAGTCGCTTCGTCCTCACACGTTCACTGTTTGACTTGTGTGTTTTTAGGGTCTACGTAAGCGTGAGCTGCTGCGGGAGGTCTTACCCGTCATCGGTGAAAACCTTCGGTTCCAGAGACTGTTCACTGAGTACCAGGATCAGCTGGAGTTGCTGCGCAACAAATAGCACGCGCTGCTACGCAGACAGAAACTGACACAAACACACACGGACTTAAAACAGTTCGGTTTGCCTCGGCTCAGCTCCGGTAAACTTTGACTGCTTTCTTCAACTTGAAACGCTGCTCTGGCTCAGACCTGAAAAACACGACCTGGGTGTCTTCTGAGAACTTTAACATCAGCCGGTCCTCAGCTTTTTGAGCGCTGGGACTTTTCAGTGCTGTCGTTCACCAGACAGTTTTTTTTTTCTTTCTGGTTTTCAGTTTCAGTTCTCCTCTCCTGTCTTTATTCCTTCTAAATGTGATCTTTTTGACCTATGCACCTCTTGCCCTCCTAATCATGAACCTAGAAAAGGTAACTCAAGGGAGATGGTGATAGAAACGGTCGTCAGGTGCAGCATCAGCAGCTGTATGGAATCATTCTCAGAGGTCTTGGAGAGAGATCAGAGGTAAAATGTAAAGAGAAATGTAAATTAGAACAGATTTATAGGAGCAATATGCTTGCACCAAAGTGATGCCAATTTAGTGAGAAATAGTCTCTCACCTGCATCTGCCAGGTGAAGGAAATGAAGGGCATCCAGACTACGGATCAGCTGGGTTTTTACAGGTTGGTATTCCCGAGTGTACCGTTATCTTTAAAATCAGCAGTTCTCATACCAAAATGCGAAAAGGGTGGTAAAATGCAAGGCCATGACTGAAATGCAGGATTGTTGTCTGTGAAATAAAATTGGAAAATTGAAAAAAGAATTTGTGCACAAACATTAAGCAGAAATTTATGTAAGCACTAAACTAGGGCTATCTGTGAGTCTGCACCTTCGATTGGTGCATTCGCCATTCCTTGGTCCTCCCTCGACTGAATGAGCTTTTACATTCTGTAATCTCTCCACAGTGTAGCTCCATTCTTAGCTATTTAAAATAGATTTTGTTTGTAAAAGGATAATCCTTCACTTCTGCAGAGATGGGCTGGCGCATCTAGATGAAGGTGATTTTAAAAAAGTCATCGCCCTACAGAGAATAGGATCTGGTGCAACTGGGAAACAACGTCTGACGCTACGACTGATCATTAGGCTAAACCAGTATCACATCTCAGAATCTCTGGCTGCACTAAAATCATCGTAAACACAAATTCAGACAAAATAAAGTTCTTAAAAAATGAACGAGACACCAGATGGTTTAGGGCATTGCAGGAATCCCTGGTAGATGTGCAATAGTTGTACAAGCTCTTGGTGCTAGACATTGTTTGTAAACTGTTAGTGCCGAGTGTTACAGGTTGAGAGAAAGAATCAGCTTATGGAATCAAAATTTCTTCATTATTTTTTAACTGTTTTCTCAACACAAGACACGTTTTAGAGTGTTGAGAAAATGGTTCTGTTTTCAGGCCGGCCTTAGTCATTGCACGGTGTTATACGGTGGCTGCATGAATCATAATGCACAATATTAAATTAACCCAACAGTAGGCCTTTCAGACATGGGTAACATGGCTGACTTACCAGTCTGTTACAGTAATGGCACTCTGTCATTCGTAGGGCACTTTTACACTTTAACTGTGGCGTCAGACAGACTTACTGACAGCGGTGAAAAAATGCAAAGTGATGGGATGTGCAAGAAATTTGTCATAGTTGCAAAAGTCTTGACGCACATGTGGTAACAAGTCTTTTTGGTATTATCTCCAAATCTAACCCACAGACCGTATAAAAGATGTATGCCGTTAAAGCTGCAGTCTAATATTGGCCACCAGAGGGCGATAAAGAGTTCTAGTCCTTTGGGAAAGCTTCCCTTATACTTGACCTCTGTAAAAACTTTGCTGGTGAGTTAAAGGTCTCAGTCAATCATTTCAGGTCTTCGTCAACATCAAGATTATTTTGTAAGTTTAGCTTATGATTTCACAGTTGTTTGGTTTTTGCTCGTCATACCCAGTTTCAAAACACCAAGATGGCAACAGCGAAAAAGCTTCTCTCGAATCTTCAAATTGTGACCACAGAAGAATGTTTTCATGTAGAAAACTGTAATAATGAAGCCACATGCTGTCATACAAGTTCTGCTTTTTTTGTTTGTTTAGTTTGTTTTGTTTTCTGTCATGTGTGATCTGTCCAAACTTTGCAGTGACAAATTTTTCCTCTGTCCAGGCGAGCAACATTGCTGGCCCACTTCAGTCTAAAAGTGACCAGTTTGCGGGCTCAGAATGATGGAAATGGATAGAGGCTAATCACAGATAAAAAATCTCTTAACTCGCATGTCCAGAGTAGCTGCAGGGTTTTATTTTTCTGAACTCCACCAAAAATGGTTCTGGATTTGTCAGATAATTATGTCTTATATTTGAAATCATGTGGACATTTCAGGAGACCAGACTCGGTGAAATGTTCTGTATATGTGGTTTTTTTTTTCCACTTGGTTTGTAAATAAGCTGAACTCAGAAACACAACCAGAGCCGATAAAGGCTCCGATTTCTCTCGATTTCTCTTCACATTTCTCTGCTGCTGTGCAAGAATCACTGCTTTCAATTCAGGATTAAGGAGGGAAAATTGTTTTCTGATATCCATTAACTTGACATTTGACCCAAAGGTCAAGAAACCCAGTGACACATTAATGAAGTTCATTTACCTTAATAGTACGTGTGTTTAGCCTTTTGTTAGTCTGCAGCAACATTAATGCACTCCTCTGCCTGCTCTGTGTGATCACACAGGAAGCTTGTTTAGTGTTATATTTCACTTCTGAGTGTGGTAAGCAGCACAGAGGAATCCCTTTTACTTAACACCCCCCTTTTTATTTTTTTTTTTTTTTTTTTTTTTTTTTTTTTTTTTTTTTTATCTGTACAGAACTTTCTTCCTTATTTGTTTCATTTCTTTTTGTTGTTGTTTTTTTCGGGGGGTTTTCGCTGTCAGTCATTTTTAAATGTTTCTACAAGACGTTTTGTTTGATTTGTTTTCAATTTGTATAAGAAAAAGAAAAAATAACCAGAGACAAGCTGAAGTTTTTGCTTTGGAAAAAAAAGAGGAAAGATTAAACAAATGAGGAACAGTTGTGGCTTGTTAATTTCCTGTGTGGTATTGCTTCATTTTGTGTTCGTGTGTGTTACTGGCTCTCAAGTAATGGGTCCCGATGCTGATAAGATAAGATAAGATAAGATAACCTTTATTAGTCCCACACGTGGGAAATTTGTTTTGTCACAGCAGGAAGTGGACAGTGCAAAAGTTATGAGGCAAAAATTAGGATACAATAAGAATAAATACAGTACACAACTGTACAGAATAGAATAAAATAAAATACTATATACAGTAGAATAAAATAAAATAAATATACAATAAGATAAAAATAGAATACAAATACAAATGCTATATACAACTGAGTAAAAATACAACGATGACAGAAAGGATTATTGCACTTAGTATTATTGCATATGTATGGATGTGTGTGTTTGATCAGTTAAAGTATTTATTATGGAGTCTGACAGCAGTGGGGAGGAAAGACCTGCGAAATCTCTCCGTCCCACACCGTGGGTGCCGCAGTCTCCCACTGAAGGAGCTGCTCAGTGCTGTCACAGTCTGCTGCATGGGGTGGGAGACGTTGTCCAACAGGGATGACAGCTTAGCCGCCATTCTCCTGTCACTCACCACCTCCACTGGGTCCAGAGGGCATCCTAGAACAGAGCTGGCCCTTCGGATCACCCTGTTCAGTCTCTTCCTGTCCCCAGCAGGATTATTCCCAACCAGATTTCAGCTAATGTTCCCCCACAGCTCGGAATCCCATCATCAACACCACTTTCTATGATAACATTTTTTTAAACTTGTTTGAAATTCACTTGGGCCTTTTTTTTTTTTTTTTTAACCCATTTCCTCTCCTTCTTTATAGCAATTCTGGCCACTACTTTGTAAACACACAGCGCCTATTTATTTGTTGTATGTATTCATTATGCTACCATTATTTAAAAGTAATGTTAGCTAGCAATAACTTAAATATCGTTAGCTAACAGTAGCAGCGTAGCCATTCTGTCCATCAAGTTTGTTTCTTTTGTACCGTTTCCTTTAAATTCTTGAAACTATCAATATTTTCTTCTGTATCTCTGGCAGTTTATCCTCTAACAGTTTAATAATTCGTTTTTTTCATTAGACTGGCTCAACAGGTGGCTGTTTTGATGAACAAATAACATTTAAAAAATTTACAGCCTATGGCTGCTAACCAACATGTACAAATGTATATTTAGCTAACGCTTTTGTTTTTGTGATTGGTAGCTCACTACATGAGTCAAATAGCTGTACACAGTTTATCCACCAGAGTGCGCTGAAAGTTACCGTAATCCTACTAAACTTTATAGACATATAATCCTCTACATACAAGTGAAGCATAAACATACTTTCACAAGTTTGTCGCTTGATTACATGAGTGGAGCAATTTCCTGAGCGAGCTCAGAGCTGAGCAGAGGCGTCTTCCTCCTTCCTCCCGCACACACCAGAGACGTTCTCTGTGGGGTTTGAACCTTTTTTTAAAGACCATACAGATTAAGTGCGGATGTCCTTGGATGTTTAGATGAAAATCATTTTTACCGTTAAGATGGATGTTTGGGTTCTTAAAGTGCACTTCTGTACCTGGACAGTGATGAGTCTCCTGATTGGTGTGTTTTCTTATGGTAAGTTATCCACAAATGTTTCATGTTAAAAGTCAGATTTTGCATTTTAATGTTACTAAAGTGTTTTCTGGACTGGAAGTGTTTGGCTTGTGAGGGAGCCAAACTGAATTCGCTAAATTCCTGAAGAAAAATTTCAGGACTTTTTTTTTTTTTTTCTGATCAAGGTCTTTTATTGATCCGTTCAGTTGTGTGTGTGTGTGTGTGTTTGAACTGTAGCTCTTGTTGACGTGTTTTTTTTTTTTAAGGGAACACACTTTCTGATTGAAGTACAGCTTTTTTTTTTTTTTTTTTCAAATTTATTTTATTGAATCATTTTAAAACAGAGCGTCAGAATTACGCGGGCATTTTTTCACCTTTCTATCGGTGTAGAGAAGTTATAAACTATAATGCAAAAAGCATTTGTTCACATTCATCCCAAAGGCGTCTAGCAGGTTGAGGTCAGGACTGTGAAAGCGAGTCCTTTCCACACCAAACTCGCTCATCCATGTTGTTATTGACCTGTCATGTTGAAACAGGAAGGGGCCATCCCCAAACTGTTCCCACAAAGTTTATAGCATGAAATTGTTCATGCTCTTTACACTGCACAACACAGTCAGACAAGTTCTGTAATTTTAGTCAAATCATTTCCACTTTGTTATAACCACTTAGAGTCGACTGTGGAATATTTAGTAGTGAGGAAATGGATGTGTTGCACGGGTTGCATCCCATCACGGGACCATGCTGGAATTCACAGAGCTCCTGAAAGCAACCAGTTCTTTCACAAATGTTTGTAGAAGCAGTCTGTGTTTGATGTAGTACACCCGTGGCCATGCAAATGATTGGAACACCTGAATTCAGTGACTGGGTTAGGTTAGTGAATACTTTTGGCAATATAGTCTTTGTCTTTAGTGAATAAACATTGTCTCACTTTCCATTTCACACTTTACAAAAACATCCAGGGCACCAAAATCATTAAAATCTTTAATGATCTTTATTCTTTTTTCATTGACTTTCTCTGTTTCCCTGTTTCTTCGCGTCAGGAGTGACAGTTAGAGACTTTCAGCTGGAGATCTGCAAAGAAAACACACGGGTGTGTGTCACCACCCCTGCAGACTGTGACCCTCGCCCACCCTCATCCACACAGAGTGAGCACACATGTTTGCTTATTGTTTTTTATCATCTGATTTAAAAAATAGAAACATGAAGTAAAGCTGCCTGTTTCTAAAAGGACCTCAGCAGAAGGATAAGGATCTATGAGAAATCGGATCTGTTTAAACATGACTGAGAAGGGTTTTTTTTATGTAAATAGAAGCTAAAAAATAGATCTGGTTATATGTTTCTGGATGTTAGTTTTTTTTGGTCTCAGTGACTGGTTTGAAGTTTTCATTTAATCATGTTAATTTTGTAAAACATTAAATGTAGGCCCAGTAGAAGAACGTATTCAGTTAACCCGCTCTGATGTGTAGACATGTCGTTCACATGACCCAAAACTAAAGTCTTCAGCTTTTTGGAGTGACGTGTTATTTAAACGTCTTTTCCTGCAGGTACTCTGAACATGTCGTGTTACTACCAAAAGTGTGCAGACAGACAAGTATCCATGACATGTGAGTGGAGTCTAGACTCAAACAGCGACACTGAGACTACCGCCTCCCTGATTTTCAGCAGGTATAAAACTTGATGATTTCGTTACGATGATAATTACAAAGTGATCTTGTGGAATCTTCTCAGATGTTTTATCTTTTCTATTTAGGGACCACGAAATTATATCCTGTCAGGGCATCTTCAACTCAGCATCCGTTGTCAATGTGACAGCAAGGATTAAAAACCACATGACAGAGATCTGGTCTGAGCCTCACAGTATCTTTCTTTTTGAAGCAGGTTAGACACCCACACGTTTTGTGACTGTCACCTGTAATCCACCTGGCTTCTTCCTCTGCTGTCCGCTCATATAAAATGATGATGAAGTAATTTGCTCTTTGTCTCCTCCTCTCAGTCAAGCCCCCTACACCTGTATTAACTGTGCTCAGCTCTACTGAGGACTCACTTGTCGTGTCTTGGACAAGCAGCGGTGATGGCAGATGTCAGCTTCGTTACAGACTCGACAGCGAGGACATATGGACCAAGGTTAGCATCATGCCAACACTCTGTAGGCTCTGTAGGCGATTGTGGTCGTTAGATGTGAACTTCTTTTGTTTTTGTTTAGTTTCTTTTGGAACAGGGTTTGTAGCTTAATAAGCTTTGGAAAATGTAAAAACGACCAAAAAGGGAATCACAATATGAACATGTAGGTCATCCATGTCATAGTAATCTAAGGAGAAGCTTCTCGGATGAGACATGAAACGTCTTAAAGAAACTTAAAGAAGTCCAGTCGCTTTTCTTTCCAAGCTCCTTAAATCACAAATGTATTTTAATTGTTTAATAAAGTTTTAATAGAGGCAACATTTTGATCCCAAAATAAAAATGGCTGAAACCTGATCTTTTGACTTACAGTGATTCTTGTACATGCACTAACCTCATTATTCCTTCGGCCATCCAGCACTGTGACAGAGTAGACAGGATAGAAGTATAGAAGAGCATAGTATGTCCACTTACAGTCAGCTTTGTCCCATAGGTTTGGTTGTGTGCTTTTGTGTCCAGGTTCCAGATTTATCTGCAAACCTGACGTTGAATTACACCATCAAAGACCTCCTGCCGTTTACAGTCTACAGAGCTGCTGTGGCCTGCAGGGAACAGATCTTCTGGAGTAACTGGAGCTCTGAAATCAGAGGAAGAACACTGGACAGAGGTAACAGGCATGCACATCAGGGACAGAATACCAGGAGCTACAACACTGACATATATAAAATAAATTAATAAATTTTTAAAAAGAAGCTCAATTTTTTTTTCTTTTAGTTCCTTCCAGGCCACCAGAGGTGTTTTACAGACTGGAGAAAAAAGGTGGATCTCTGGAAGTTCATCTCATTATGTTGAAGGTATAGTGTCTCACTTACCTATGATGATGAGTTCTCATATAAATGCAGAAAAATACCGTTATGATTTACTAAAATGAATCTTTTATTATTGTTTCTTTTTTCCATCTTAGGCTCCTGAGTCTCTTGAAACTGAAGGTCGAATCCTTGGATACCAGATGAGCTATAAAGAAGGTGGACTGATTCAAAGCACCACTGATGTGACACGCCTAGTGGTGAAGGAGGGGAACTGCAGCATCACAGTCAGAGCCTTCAACACAGCTGGCTACGGCCCTGCTGCCCATCTCAGCTTCAGCACAAAAAGACAGAAGATCCTGGTTATGACATGTAATTATTGTGAATGCTTGAAAAGCATTCACAGTATTGTTCTTCTAATTAGTGTGAATGCTTGAAAAGCATTCACAGTATTGTTCTTCTAATCTTTATTATTAGTGTGAATGCTTGAAAAGCATTCACAGTATTGTTCTTCTAATCTTTATTATTATTAGTGTGAATGCTTGAAAAGCATTCACAGTATTGTTATTCGAATCTTTATTATTAGTGTGAATGCTTGAAAAGCATTCACAGTATTGTTATTCTAATCTTTATTAGTGTGAATGCTTGAAAAGCATTCACAGTATTGTTATTCGAATCTTTATTATTATTATTATATTTTATCTATTCCGTACGTTTTTTGTACTCCTACTCCTTCAAAACCGTTCAACTTAGAAAAACCATTCAAACACCATTAGATTCCTATTCTTTTGGACATGACTGCTTCTACTTTTCTCATTTTTAACATTTATATTTTTAATTTTATTCAACTTTATTCAACAAAAATTTCCCATGTATTTCAATGGGGAGACCCTTCAAATTCTCATTCAACTTACTCATTTTTAAACTCTTACTACTTCCACATACATTGACATAGAGCCACCATTCAAACTTTAAAACGAAGACAAGACATTCAACTATTCAACTTGTATTTATCTTTTCAATATCTATTATACTTTTTCTTCAGTTCCAGTTTAAGTTTCATGATGTTTTTTCACCCGTTTCAGAGTTTATAATGGGTGTGTATGGGACGGAATGTTGGGGCTAGAGTGAGACAGCTCAACTGCTAGAGTGAGAGGAGCAAAAAAATTAATCTTAAAATCTTTTTTAAAACTGCTGCTGTGTCCACAGCGTTTGCTCTACAGCCACCATTTTACCCTCAAAACGTAGCCATCGCTGTCCTCTTTCATCCAATGTGTTTACTATTGTCCTAGGTGTTATGGTTCTTTCGTAAATGTCACCAATGCACAGCCTCCTCCCTCCAACTCTTCCATAGACTCTAATGTTAAAATGGCTCAGAAGGTTCGTTTGAAAATCAGAAGAGCATGGTGTCTTTCCACTGTCACCACGTCCATATAATAAACTCCACAGGCATGAAAACTGAGAATTCAGTAGACTAGACATTGCTGTCACTCACGGTGAAAGAATTTTGTCAATACGACCTATACTTTTCATTTGGGAACGATTTGTTTGGGCCTGACTTTTCTGTTCATTTTAAGCAGCAAAAGTGAGGCGCATGTCTGTGTACGTGTGTATGGAGCCATTGGGTGCGGTCACTATAGCAACCAGGCTCACACCTGCCTGCTTAACGAGCTCTGCCTGCCACTGTACCAAGATTCATCTTAAGCACTTCTCTTTCAACTGCTGCTGTGTCCACAGTGTTAAAGCCATCATTTTACCCTCAAATTGTCGCCATTATTGTTCTCTTTCCAACACCGTATCTTTCAAAGCTCAGGCATTTAAACTTTTTAAACTGTGTGGATCAAAGTGGAGGGATCACATTTTAGTCATTCAGTGATTCAAAGAATATGACCTTTTAATATTCAGTCAGATGTTTTCTGACTCTAAATGTTCTTTTCTCATTTCTTAGGGTTTTCTAATTTACATTTAAAACATTTTCAGTTTTTTTCCAACTCCTTCTTCTGTGTAACCTTCAGCTTTTAGCAGTTCAGCACCTTTGTTTTCAGGTTAAATTCGTTTTTTTTTTTGTTTTTTTTTATCTCATTCAATATTTTTAACTCAAAATTCAGCAATTAATTCATTTCAGTGCATACATTCAGATTCAAGCATTCACACTGCAGTTTCTTCAGAAAATGCACTTTCTAGTTATTATTATTATTATATTTTATCTATTCCGTACGTTTTTTGTAATCCTACTCCTTCAAAACCGTTCAACTTAGAAAAACCATTCAAACACCGTTAGATTCCTATTCTTTTGGACAACACTGCTTCTAAATTTCATATTTTTAACATTTATATTTTTAATTTTATTCAACTTTATTCAACAAAAATTTATAATGTATTTCAATGGGGAGACCCTTCAAATCCTCATTCAACTTACTCATTTTTAAACTCTTACTACTTCCACATACATTGACATAGAGCCACCATTCAAACTTTAAAACGAAGACAAGACATTCAACTATTCAACTTGTATTTATCTTTTCAATATCTATTATACTTTTTCTTCAGTTCCAGTTTAAGTTTCATGATGTTTTTTCACCCGTTTCAGAGTTTATAATGGGTGTGTATGGGACGGAATGTTGGGGCTAGAGTGAGGCAGCTCAACTGCTAGAGTGAGAGGAGCAAAAAAATTAATCATAAAATCTTTTTTAAAACTGCTGCTGTGTCCGCAGCGTTTGCTCTACAGGTATGATTTTACCCTCAAAACGTAGCCATGGCTGTCCTCTTTCATCCAATGTGTTTACTATTGTCCTAGGTGTTACGGTTCTTTCATAAATGTCACCAATGCACAGCCTCCTCCTTCCAACTCTTCCATAGACTCTAATGTTAAAACGGCTCAGAAGGTTGGTTTGAAAATCAGAAGAGCATGGTGTTTTTACACTGTCACCACGTCCATATAATAAACTCCACAGGCATGAAAACTGAGAATTAGGTAGAGTGGACATTACTGCCGCTCACGGTGAAAGAATTTCGTCAATACGACCTATACTTTTCATTTGGGAGCGATTTGTTTCGGCCTAACTTTTCTGTTCATTTTAAGCAGCAAAAGTGAGGCGCATGTCTGTGTACGTGTGTATGGAGCCATTGGGTGCAGTCACTATAGCAACCAGGCTCACACCTGCCTGCTTAACGAGCTCTGCCTGCCACTGTGCCAAGATTCATCTTAAGCACTTCTCTTTCAACTGCTGCTGTGTCCACAGTGTTACAGCCATCATTTTACCCTCAAATTGTCGCCATTATTGTTCTCTTTCCAACACCGTGTCTTTCAAAGCTCAGGCATTTAAACTTTTTAAACTGTGTGGATCAAAGTGGAGGGATCACATTTGAGTCATTCAGTGATTCAAAGAATATGACCTTTTAATATTCATTCAGATGTTTTCTGACTCTAAATGTTCTTTTCTCATTTCTTAGGGTTTTCTAATTTACATTTAAAACATTTTCAGTTTTTTTCCAACTCCTTCTTCTGTGTAACCTTCAGCTTTTAGCAGTTCAGCACCTTTGTTTTCAGGTTAAATTCGGGTTTTTTTTGTTTTTTTTTAATCTCATTCAATATTTTTAACTCAAAATTCAGCAATTAATTCATTTCAGTGCATACATTCAGATTCAAGCATTCACACTGCAGTTTCTTCAGAAAATGCACTTTCTAGTTATTATTATTAGTGTGAATGCTTGAAAAGCATTCACAGTATTGTTCTTCTAATCTTTATTATATTTTATTATATTTTATTATTCTGTATTCCGTACGTTTTTTGTAATCTATCTCCTTCAAAACCGTTCAACTTAGAAAAACCATTCAAACACCGTTAGATTCCTATTCTTTTGGACAACACTGCTTCTATTTTCTCATTTTTAACATTTATATTTTTTATTTTATTCAACTTTATTTAACAAAAATTTATAATGTATTTCAATGGGGAGACCCTTCAAATTCTCATTCAAATTCCTCCTCTTTAAACTGTATCTACTTCAACATACATTGACATAGAGCCACCATTCAAACTTTAAAACGAAGACAAGACATTCAACTATTCAACTTGTATTTATCTTTTCAATATCTATTATACTTTTTCTTCAGTTCCAGTTTAAGTTTCATGATGTTTTTTCACCCGTTTCAGAGTTTATAATGGGTGTGTATGGGACGGAATGTTGGGGCTAGAGTGAGGCAGCTCAACTGCTAGAGTGAGAGGAGCAAAAAAATTAATCTTAAAATCTTTTTTAAAACTGCTGCTGTGTCCGCAGCGTTTGCTCTACAGGTATGATTTTACCCTCAAAACGTAGCCATCGCTGTCCTCTTTCATCCAATGTGTTTACTATTGTACTAGGTGTTATGGTTCTTTCATAAATGTCACCAATGCACAGCCTCCTCCCTCCAACTCTTCCATAGACTCTAATGTTAAAATGGCTCAGAAGGTTCGTTTGAAAATCAGAAGAGCATGGTGTCTTTCCACTGTCACCACGTCCATATAATAAGCTCCACAGGCATGAAAACTGAGAATTAGGTAGACTAGACATTGCTGTCGCTCACGGTGAAATAATTTTGTCAATACGACTTTTACTTTTCATTTGGGAGCGATTTGTTTCGGCCTGACTTTTCTGTTCATTTTAAGCAGCAAAAGTGAGGCGCATGTCTGTGTACGTGTGTATGGAGCCCTTGGGTGCGGTCACTATAGCAACCAGGCTCACACCTGCCTGCTTAACGAGCTCTCTCTCTCTCTCTGCCAAGATTCATCTTAAACACTTCTCTTTCAACTGCTGCTGTGTCCACAGTGTTAAAGCCATCATTTTACCCTCAAAACGTCGCCATCGTTGTTCTCTTTCCAACACTGGTTTTCAAAGCTCAGACTTTTACATTTTTTAAACTGTGTGGATCCAAGCAGAGGGATCAGATTTGAGTCATTCAGTGATTCAAAGAATATGACCTTTTAATATTCATTCAGATGTTTTCTGACTCTAAATGTTCTTTTCTCATTTCTTAGGGTTTTCTCATTTACAATTAAAACATTTTCAGCTTTTTTCCAACTCCTTCTTCTGTGTAACCTTCAGCTTTTAGCAGTTCAGCACCTTTGTTTTCAGGTTAAATTTGGTTTTTTTTGTTTGTTTTTTTAAAATTTCATTTAATATTTTTAACTCAAAATTCAGCAATTAATTCATTTCAGTGCATACATTCAGATTCAAGCATTCACACTGCAGTTTCTTCAGAAAATGCACTTTCTAGTTATTATATTTTATCTATTCCGTACGTTTTTTGTAATCCTACTCCTTCAAAACCGTTCAACTTAGAAAAACCATTCAAACACCGTTAGATTCCTATTCTTTTGGACAACACTGCT